CTCCTCCCCCGCGCGGCCGCCCTCGTCTTCTTCCCCCCTCTTGTACGCCGGCCGATTAGCCTTTCGCTTGCGCCGCCGCGGGGGGCGCCAGGCGCGGGCCGACGCGCCCGGAGCCGAGGGCGAGGCCCGCGCGCGGGAGAACCCATCCGAAGGGGTTGCGCGGGCCGCGTCGCGAAGCTGAAGGATGGCTTTCGCCGGGATCCATTTCGACTCCTTAGACCCGATGCGATTCGGGGACTGCCTCTGCCCCGCCGCCGACGAAAAAGTTTCGGCCCGTGGCTGCAGAATGTTCTCGGTTGCCCCCCTGTCGTGGTCCAGCGGCGTCCCCGCAAGTCCCCGCCTGCAGGGCCTGGGCCGTGGACGGTTTCTTCCCTCTCGTTCCCATCCTTGGCCGTGTTGGCTCTCTCCCACTGGAATGGGTTCCTCCTCCTCTTCCTCCTCCTCCTCCTCCTCCTTCTCCTCCTCCTCCTTCTCCCCCTCCTCCTCCTCCTTCTCCTCCTCCTCCTCCTCCTCCTCCTCCTCCTCCTCCTCCTCCTCCTCCTCCTCCTCCTCCTCCTCCTCCTCCTCCTCCTCCTCCTCCTCCTCCTCCCTGCACCTCGTCGCCCGCACCTTCTGCGGCATCGGCAGGAGGCGCGCCAGCCGTGCCCTGTCAGGCGCAATTGCCGCCCGGGGGGATGTCCATCAGCGATCCCGTTGGGGCCAAGCCGATGGACGGCAGGCCATCACACGCCCGCTGAAGAGAAGCTGCAGCCTTTCCTGCCGCCTCCCTCGCCTGAACCCTTTGCAAAGGAGCAGTCGTCCTCGCGCTCTGAGGGAGCATCCCGGGCGCAGATATGCCTTCTGCAGCCTCGGGGGAAGGCGGCAGCGTGGCCGCCGAACACGAATGCGCTGACCCCCTGCGAGAGCTGACTGACACCGTGGACTTGTCACCGCAGTGAGGGTACAGGTCATCAAGCATTTTGCGGAGGGTCGTGAGAGGGCTTGAAAGCTCATGTTGCTGGCACCCCTTACCAAGCAAATGAAATCGGCTCGCGGTGCACGCACCGCAGACCACAGAAAAAATTGCATTCTCCTCCGATCGTTTGAGCACATGGCAGTGGGCAAGCGTGTGTCCGAGGGAAAGTTCAAGAGTAGATCTCATCGTGCTGTTCATCTCTTTACATTGGAACATGGGTCTCGTTGAGGCACCCGGAGAATCCTTGCTCCAAAACTTCCCCAAAAAAGTGTCACCCTCCAGATTCGAGATCCTGGACCGAGGACCCGAGCTCTCAGACGTTCGCAGCTCCCCGGAGGGAAAGCTGCCAAACCCGTGCCAACAACGCGTGCAGTCACGTCAGTCAAGCAATTTGCACATCCTGGTCACCGCCCGACCTTCGATGGGGTGAAGGTCGAGGGTGGTCGAGGAGAGAGCTCTCTCGGCCTGGACATCCGCATTCCTCCGACCGTGATGCGCTGGTCATCCTCAGGCAGCGCATCATTGTCGGCTCTCCCAGACCTCCACGCGTTGTGAAAAAATTAGGACGGGAATTTCTCGCTATTTTCGGCTTCTGGGGGCCCTTCCAGGGCCTCGGGACCGCCAACTAACGACTCAGGATGAAAAACCGGTCCCCGGAAAGGGGTCCAGACATTTGGGGGTCGACGTCGTGAGAAATCACGACGTTGGGAGTTTGGGCTCGCACAATGAGCAGGTGTGTGAAACACGGGCGCAGTATGGTATGGCGCTTCGTGGAGCAGCGCTCCACTATGATCACCTGCGCACCGATGTTTCTGTGAAGCTTGGCGCTCGGTTGCAGCACCGCAAAGTTTGATGACCGCCATGCTATCACCGAACCTGAACCCCCCAGAATCCTGGACACAGGGAGGAGCGCCATGGTTTGGTGTTTGGGAGGTCTGGTGGAGATCATCAAGAACCTCGCCTCGGGCTATGCGAACCTGACCCCAAGAATACCCAGGAGTGGGACGCCCTGGAGTGCTCCCAGAGCAATGATCGATCGACCCCCACGAAACTTCAGCCCATGCAGCGTCGTACAGGGTGGGGTTGAGGGTGTCCAAGTGAGGGGGGAGGTATGTTCCAGGACGATCCCACTCATTGTCAAGAATTCCGCCTTGCCACTCAAGTGGCACTCCGTCGAGAGCTTCAGTACTTGCCTGCACAGCGTCATGGCGCAGGCATCGACAAGCTCGATGCCGAGCACTGCCTGGGAGACCGCACAGGGCGCACAGACCGTCAGCATGGTATGCCGAGGCGCGGGCTCGCGTCCAGACACCTTTGCAAAAACTGGTGAGGGCAAAGTATTGTTTCAGTCGCACTTAGAAGATAGGCGCTCAGCTCTGGACTTCTGGCGAGTATGGGCGGTGGTTCACGAGGGGTCATGCCTTTACCCTTGGGTCCTAGGAGGCAATTGCGGGGTTCAGCACAAGCACAGGACCATTGGAAACCAGGGGTATTCCAGACGCGTCGCGCACCCCCATCAGTCTATCCAGAAACGATGCCCAGACG